AGAGGCTGCACAGTTTTGGGAAACTGCTTTGAAGGCTGGCTCTGGCACAGTGCACTGAACACCTATTGTCCTGCAAGGGCAGTGCCTTGGTTTGCCATCTCAGCCCACTGCTGGCAAGACCCACTTTCTCACAATCCCTGCTTTGTATTGCTTATGTGCTAGAATGACGGATACGTGAGACTTGTTGTGATGGCTGTGGTTCCCCCAGTACAGTTAGTTAACCCATGGGGCTACTGCTTCTTTTGCAAAATGTCCCTGCTTGTTTTGACAGAAGCACTGTAAATGTCATCCACAGTGGCAGCTCTCTGACATTATTCCTTTCTTAGCTAGTGCCCAAGTAAAATTCATTTCCACAAGCACAGGCTAAGTAGGTGGAGACAGAATTGGATTTCCTGAGACATATTTATGTACAAAATTGGTACTCTGACTTGCAGCCCCATCAGGGCCACCAAAGTGGATAACAGTTAAATACACTTCATTAAAAAAGCATTAACATAAAAACTAAAATACATACGTAAAAACATAGAAAACCAGTAATTAAAACATAGGGCGGGAAGAAGGGATCATTGAGAGAATGATAGAAACACACCCTCAAAATAAAAGTCTTCACCTGTTGGCAGAAGTCAGTGGCAGAAGGTGACAGGAGAATATCCCTAAGGAGAGTGTTCTATACTTTTGGTGTTATGACTGAGAAGGCCTTCTTGTAGATTGCTACCCACCTGATCTCAGAAGTCAGGGGAACTTGAACTACAGCCTTGGAAGATGTTAGTAGCAGTCGGGTAGGTTTGTATGGGAGTAGGCAGTCCTTGTGTGTCGACCCCCCCAAGCTTTATAGGGCTTTAAAGGTCAACACCAGCATCTTGAATGGGGACCAGAACCAAATTAGGAACCAGTGTAGATGGGCCAAGACATGACATGGTCCTTATGATCTTGGCTGGAGCATTCTTTACCAGTTGAAGTTTCCAAACACTGTTCAAGGGTAGCCCCATGTAGATCATATTGCAGTAATCTAATCTAGATGTTACCAAGGCATGCACCACAGTGGCCAGATCTTTTCTGCCCAGGAAAGGCCAAAGTTGGCAAACCAGTTGCAGCTGGTAAAAGACACTCCTGGCCACAGCTGCTACCTGCTTATCCAGTAGTAGGCCTGGGTCCAGGAGCACCCCCAAGCTATAGACCTGTATCTTCAAGGGAAGTGCAACCCCATCCAGAACAGATGATGACACCTTAAATCCTGGGTCATGTTCTGCTTAACAGTCGCACTTTTAACAGGCACCAGTTCAGGGTTTCTATATCCACCCCAGTATCCTTTGGAAGCATGAGATAGAACTGAATGCCATCCACATACTGGCGACAACCCAGCCCAAATCTCTTGATGGCCTTACACAGTGGTTTCATGTGGATGCTGAAAGTACAGGGGAAAGATGGAACACTGAGAGACTTCAAAGGCCAGAGATCCAGAGGAGTTAGTTGTGTTGCTGCAAAATAGTAAAAAGCCCAGTGGCACCTTTAAGCTTAACAAACTTTATTGTAGCATAGGTTTTTAAGAAACACAGCTCTCTTCGTTAGATGCATCTTCATTTGTTTCTCAAAAGCTTATGCTACAATAATGTTTGTTAGTCTTAAAGGTGCTACTGGGCTTTTTACTATTTCAAAGGCCAAGGGGATGAACAGCAGTCCACGGCACCACCTTTTGAAACTTGCCTTCCATGTAGGACTGCAGCCACTGAAAACTGGTGACTCCCAGTCACAACCCCAAAATGCTGTCCAGAAGGATACTGTAATTGATGGTATCTAAAGCCACTGAGAAATCCAGGGGAATCAGCAAAGGTGCTGTCCATCTCCCTGTATGGTCATCTGCTGGGGGGGGGACCACTAAGATTGTGTTAGTCCCATAACCAGGCCTGAAAACAGATTTGAAGGGATCCAAACAATCTGCTTCATCCAAACAATCTGCTTCATCCAGGAATCCTTGAAGTTGTCTAACCCCAGCAGCTTTTCCTTGAACATGGGCAGACTTGGTTCATTTCCCCTGTTGCCATAGGCACAATGTTGTATGAGGATGAAATGTTTAAAATGTTATTTCTCTATGTCTGCTCCAAGCATTGCTTGTTGTCTATGGACTTCTAATGGAGAAATGACTATGTGTTGAAAGAGTTAATGGCTTGTATCTGGGTCTGCCGCATGTGTGTGTGTTACATGCTGTCAAGTTGCAACTTATGCAACCCTATGAATTAATGACCTCCAAAATACCCTATCATTAACAGCCTTGCTTAACTTTCTTTCTTTATTGAGCCAATCCATCTCATGTTAGGTCATCCTCTTTTCCTACTACGTTCAATTACCTGCGTCATAGCCATTTTGATATTTTTTTTTATAATAAAAAGCTGTGGCAAGTAATATTTGACCCCCTTTGTTTTCCTCAGAGGATGTTCTGCAGTGTAGACACAGTGAAAACTCTCTCCGTTGTTCTTTCTGATGTTCATACATCCTTCATTTAGAACAGTTCTTTCTTGGTGTTCGAATAGTGGTTGCACACAGATATCAAAAATTCCAGGAGCATCTCTATGTTGAATGAAGTATATTTAAATTTGAACAGCATTGAAAGAGTCTTACTGTCATTTTCAAAGTAATAATCCAGCCTTGAAGACTGAAGTTGTTTTGACGAGGACCTCCCCCCCCAAAAAAAAGAGAACTGCATTACATCTGATTGAGATCTTGACATCTGATCTAATTTAATCTCCAAAGTGTTTTATTATTCTATACTGTTTTAAAGTTGTTTTAAATTGATTTGTATTATATTGTATTGATACTGATGTAACCCACCCTGAGCCTGCTTGCGGGGAGAGCAGGATGTAAATTCAATAAAATAAAATAAAATACTTTCAGATGTGTAACCATGTTAATCTGTCAGAGCAAAATAAAACAGGAGCCCAGTAGCACCTTGAAGACTAACAAAATTTATTACAGAGTTGGTTTTTTTGTGAGCCAGAACTTACTTCATCAGATTTATGAATTATTTATTATTATTACTTCATTAGGCAGAAGTACTTATGCTCAAAGCTTCAGGGAAGAGAAAGATGGAAGTTGGTGAGATATGGCATAGAGACCTCTTGAAAACAATATCCAATCAAAAGAGTAATCAGTTCACTTTGAATAAATGAGAACCACTCATTTATAGATGCATGATCCAATTAAAAACATGCAGGTGTAGCTGAACTAATTAACAGTTGTAAGGGGTGTGGCGTACAATAGTATGAGCGCCTATAGCAGGTAAGAAATAGGGCCTTGTTAAGACCTGGTTGACAGTGTTAAACTTCTCGATGAATGTTAATTCAGCTGTTTCCCATTGAATTCTGTAGGAGAATAGTGACTTTCAAGTTAGCAACAAAATGCTGTGGAAGAGTAAAACGTTCCACCATTAGTTTCTGAATAATGCCATTTAAAAGGCCAGCTTTGTGCCCATTTATTCTTTTATCAAAGAATAGGCAAGGATGTTGTTGCACACTGGAGGGTGAGCAAGTAGATGGGCCCAAGATCTATCTGATTTTAGTAGGTCCTCTTATTGTATTACTGGAGTATATATGAGGACAAAGTTGACATCTAGGTTCATTGGAGAGCCTGGTTCCTGAGCTTGTGTCTCTGTTGGGTAATGCATTGTTGTAAAGTGAGAAGTTGTTTTAGATTAGGGGGCTATTTGTAAGCAAAAAAAGGTCTGCCACCCAAGTCTTATGAGAATGAAACTTTATTGAACCCAGGGTAGGCCGCAGTTTATTAATAATGAGTTGGACAGGTTTGAACTGTGAGCTGCAGGTGAAAACCAATAGAATTCTGTAGTTATCTCCATTGTACCTGTCTTTTATCAGGCTGTTTCTGGCTTCCACTGGCTGGGTATTGCAACCCCAAGATTTACCTGTTTGTAATGCTAGAGTAGACTGTATACAGTGGATTGTTTGGTATGTTCCAGATGATAGCTGAAAGCCACTGGACTCCTGCTTTATATTATACTTTATTTTTCAGGTTGTATAGTATGCTTAATACTAGTTCACATGAATTTCCAGACACCCTAAATAGAAGTGCCTGCTCTGAAAGTAGCTAGCTTGAGCTATATTATATGTAGAGAATAATCTGTTGCCCTTACATTCTGTTGGTCAGCCTTTAGTTTATGTCTTATGGTATTTCTCCTGTCTTCCCTTTAGGTATGACTCAGGGAAGGATGGTTACATTGACCTTATGGAGTTGAAGCTGATGATGGAGAAGCTTGGTGCCCCTCAAACTCATTTGGGCTTGAAGAACATGATCAAGGAAGTAGATGAAGATTTTGATGGCAAACTCAGTTTCCGTGAGGTAAAATCCAGCACAAGAGAAATGTAATGCAAAAATGTTTCTGAAGTAAGAATGCAAAAGCTTGCTGTCATACAGTGCTCTCTCCCTACTCTAAATTTGGATTTCTCTAACCACCTTCAATGAAGTCTGATTGAAATGTAAGCTCGGTGGGGCAACAGCACTTGCCTGTGGTGGGTTGCTGCCAGTGTAAAGTAGCCCTGAGTTTTAAATTAGCATGCCAGACCAACACCTGTTAGTGGTATGTTAACTAAGCATGTGTAGTTGCTTTACAAAGAGGTACCTACACTTTCAAATGAGATATTGTGTAAATACAAAGGGCCCTCAGCTTTTGCCAATTGCCACTAGCATCATGTGGAAATCAGGCCTAACATACATTGTTTAACGAAGTGGTTCCATTTTTATTTCTCTAGAAAACTTGAGTTTGTGGAACACCTTAGGTATGAATAAAACTACATAGAACACTTAAGGCTGAGGTGTATCATCAAAGTTTGATCTGTGCAGGAGGGTCTCCAACACAATTCTGCAGGGAGCTCGCACAATTCTCCTCAGTCCTCTAAGTTTACAAAGGCCCACTTTGAAATTGAAATATTCTAATTCAACAAAAGAGGAGCATTGATGTAATTAGTGCAACTGAATACTGTCATGAGTATCTGTCATGGTGACAAGTGGTACTATAGTCATCTAGACCTGGATGGGACCATTGCAGTAGGTAGAACTAGGAATTACTGCAACAAAATTTACACCTGACATTTTTCATAACCAAAATGCATATTTGGGAAATAATTTTATGAAAACTTGTCTTAGATGGAATAGAAGTGTTGGAAACATACATGAAATTTGGCCATTCATTCAGTCAAATATATTGCTAAGACCTTTTTGTCACAATTTAGATTGCAACATTGAAACCAGATCTTTATATAATCAAGCAGATAATTGACTCCATGGTGAACTTTGAATATTGCATTAGATTCTGCCATTAGTTCTTGTTTTAATTCTTTCAATTATGTTGTTCTTTTTGGTTAGTTTTAATGCTTTTAAAATGTCATCATAGATCTTATTGCAGAGCTGGGCTTTATGTCAAGGACTGAGACCATGGATTGTGTCTGGGTTTAGTATTTATCAGTGTGCTGCAATCTAAGAGCAGGTCTTGTCTCCCACATGCAAGATAAGTCCGCCGTCATTTGTATTGACTTGTTTATAATCTATGCAGAGCAATTCAAGAGGGGAATCTGCTATTGATATAAGAAGGGAGACGGCATTCATCCTTTCCCCTTCCCTACTGTCACTTCTCCCTGGGAAATTCTCATAAAACAGACTTCCACATTTGACACACATAAGCTCATGGAAGCAAAAGTGAATTGAAATCAAGCATGTAATGATGCTAAATTAATAGGCTGCATGAAAGTGCCACAAGGGATCAGAATAGAGAGGGAGAGGCAGCTAATTTGGGCCTTAATTATAAGCTTTCCAGATCTGTGATCATACTACTAAGTTGTTAAGCCATGTTTTCCTTCCTCTCAAAATGTTTACAGATAGCCCTACAGAAAGGCTTCTGTGAACACTGTTTTTAATCTCAAGTGTTCTCCCACTGAGGTGGAGGACATCTCCATGGGTTAGTCCCATCGTTCCTTTAGGGAGGCAGGAAATACTTTTTTCTCCTTCCTGTTGGCGCCTTGGGAATAGCCCTGTCCCTCAGTTCTATTCCTGCCTCTTAGGGAGTAGCAGCTAGGGACAGAGCTCTGCGATTCTGTCCATTTACTTTCTCTTTCAATTCTTTCTATTTTGCTCTATATTGCTCTCTTTTATTCCTCAGAGTCTCTCTCTCTCTCTCTCTCTCTCTCTCTCTCTCTGCCTCTCTCCCCCTACTTTTTACTCTATTTTTTCCCTTCTTGCTCCTGCTTGGAGACAGAAGACGTCAAGAGGCAAGTCCCTCCCGTGTGCTAGTCGGGCCTGCGCAATGGCTACCGAGCACTCAGAAGACTTTTCATCGGGGGACGAGGCGACAGTGCTCACCGCGGCGACAGGCAGAGCGCAACTCTGCAGTGGGGTCTATCTGCCTTCGGGGCTTGTTTGTGCCACCCCAACGAGCACAGCAGAGGTGGCGTCAGCGGCGCAGCGTGCACTCAAGTGCCACTGGCCGCAGGAAGAAGCAGGGCCCGCTAATTCCGGGCGGGTGAAGATCGGCGGCCATCTTGAAGAAGCGGAGCTGAATCCGGACGCCATCTCCAGGCCTCTGCAGCGCGATGCTGGAACGGACGGAGTTTGTAAGCCCTCCGATTCGTGTTCCCTGGGCCCAGAGTTAGATTGCAGGGAGGGTAACACCTTCCAAGGGGCCTTAATCAACCCAGCAGATCTGATGCTAGCCTTTCGCCAGGCCATGCAGGAGGGCATCTCCACCTTCTGTGAGAGGGCGGGTATCCCTGGACAAGTGCCCTTCCCAGGACAACCGTCCCAGCCTCCTTCAGCTTGGCCCACTAAGGCTGCCCAAAAAGCACCCGCAAGACCTAGTAGGGGTTCTAGAGAGGAGCAGTGGGAAGATGAGGAGTCTGTTGGGTCCATGGAGAAGGACAGAGAGGAAGGGGAATTCCTCTCAGATGAGGAGGTGGAGGATCGTTTTTAAAGCGGAGGACTGCCACTATTTCTTGTCCAAAGCCATGAAGGCTTTGGGAAGAGGAGTTCCTTCGTCCATGGTTTTCACTCCTGAAGGAGATGGCTGTGGCTCCGCCTCTGACCTTACCGCAGTCCCCAGACATGCTCCTGCAGGGCCCCATCTGGTACCTGCATCCCAACTGGCTGACCTTGACCGCGTGGAGGTTGAACGGCAACATTTCTCTCAGCTAGGCTACCCGGACAAGGTTTTGGCAACCCTTATGGCCTCAAGAAGGCAGTCCACCATTCGCATTTATAATACCACTTGGAAGGCATTTGTGCGGTGGACTAGGAGGAAAAAGCTGGATTCTCTGTCTCCTACAACGGCGGACGTCCTTTCCTTTTTACAAGACGGTTTGGATTCCAGCTTGAAGGCAGCCACTTTACAACAGCAAGTAGTGGCATTATCGACCGTCCTTCCTTGCATAGGAGGATACAGGATGACTAAGCACCCCCACATACAGATGTTTCTACAAGGGGTAACAGCCAAGTCACCTCCTCAGATACACAGGTTTCCAACCTGGAGGCTACACACGGTTTTGACAGCCCTTACCAAAGTGCCATTCGAACCTCTCAGGGAAGTCGGAATGAAGTGGTTCCGGATGAAGACATTATTCCTGGTGGTGATAACCTCAGCACGGCGGGTCTCAGAGCTGGGTGCTCTATCGGTAAAGGCCACGCTCTGCGTCTTCCACAAGGATAAAGTGGTACTTAGGACCGATCCCACCTTTCAGCCAAAGGTTTCTTCCGCTTTTCATCATGCTCAAGAGATCTATTTACCTACTTTTTGTCCAAAGCTACAACATCCCAGAGAAAGACTATGGCACACCCTTGATGTCAGATGGGCATTAAAGATTTACATCATGCGCACTGAATCTCTATGAAAAACAGACTTCATGTTCATCAACATCTCCTTTCCACATACGGGAAATCGTATGTCCACGGCTTCCATCAGCGCAGTCCTTAGGTCATGCATCACGGAGGCCTACAAAGCATCGGGAATGGAAATTCCCAAAGGGATCATGGCCCATTCTTTGAGAAGTGCGGCAACCAATGCGGCGTTCACGAATCGAGCTTCAGTCAAGGAGGTCTGCAGGGCCGCTACTTGGACGTCGGTATCTACCTTCATTTGTCATTACAAGCTAAACACAATTGTGTCAGCCGACGCAGCATTCGGAAGAAGAGTCCTTCAGCACATTCTCCCTTTGGCTGGCGATGATGACCCACCCATTTAAGGGACACTGCTTTTGGAGGTCCCATGGAGATGTCCTCCACCTCAGTGGGAGAATGACCTTTGGCACTTACCGTGAAGGGTCTTTCTCCTCTGAGGTTAGGAGGACATCTCGGTCCTCCTGCTTTCATCATCGTCCTTTTTCCTGTGTTTCTCTGTGCTGTTCTCTTCTTCTTCTTCTGCGTTCTTGTTCTACTGTTTTATAGTTCTATCATTAATGTTGGAAGTTTACCTGCTTGGCTCAGGGGAGTCAGCCTTAGTTGATACTCACTGCTTATGGAGTCCCAGAACTGAGGGGCGGGGCTATCCCAAGGCACCAACAGGAAGGAGAAAAAAGTATTTCCTGCCTCCCTAAAGGAACGCTGGGAATAACCCATGGAGATGTCCTCCTAACCTCAGAGGAAAAGGACCCTTCACGGTAAGTGCCAAAGGTCGTTTTCTCAAGTCATTTGGGTTTCATTTTTTTCTTTTTAATTGGAGGAAATGGTATTTGGCCTATGATCTAAGCAAGGGGAATCTGAACAGAAACTACTTCAGATAGTGAATAAACAGTTAAATGCGTCCTTGGGCGTGGCATGATCAATGAGCAACAAAAAAAAAGACCAATCCACTGAATGCTGTGGCCTTGCCAGGAGATGGGAAAGAACTGTGGCTTAGACATAGAGCACCCTGTTTTGCATGTAGAAGGTTCCAGTCCCAGTCATCTCCATATAAACCAGTGTTTGCTGCCAGTCAGAGTAAATTCTGAGCTAAATGGATCAATGGTCTGGCTCTCTTTAAGGCACCTTCCTATATGTAGGCAGAGTAAAGCACAAGAACATTTTGCTGTCTGTCTGGATCTCCTGAACCTATAAAAAGAGATGATTGATCTGACATTTAACAGTAAAGCAAGTTAAAACTGCTATCTCTACATTTTAAAAACAAGTCTCAGGAAGTAGATGAAATATGTGATTTATCTCAGCTAAGAAAGAACGCTACACAAAGGAGCTCTGTGCAGAAATTTAGGCAGCATTCAGAATGAGCCTGGTTGCCCTGACCTGGATAGCCCAGGCAAGCCCGATCATATCAGATTTTGGAAGCTAAGCAAGGTTGACTCTGGCAAGTATTTGGATGAGAGACC